CCCCAGAGAGGGTGGACTGAAGACAATGATCAAGCGATTTGTCTCCTGCCCTCCCTCTCCAGCCTCTGACAAACAGAGGCCAGGGATACCAATTCTATCCCTTGGCTAACAGCCTTTTATGGACCTAACCTCCAGGAAATTATCTAGCTTCTCTTTAACCTCTGTTATAGTCCTAGCCTTCACAGCCTCCTCTGGTAAGGAGTTCCACAGGTTGACTACACGCTGTGTGAAGAAGAACTTTCTTTTATTAGTTTTAAACCTGCTCCCCATTAATTTCATTTGGTGTCCTCTAGTCTTCTATTTAGGGAACTAATAAATAACTTTTCTTTATCTGCCCTCTCCACACCACTCATGATTTTATATACCTTTATCATAATAACCCCCCTCAGTCTCCTCTTTTCTAAACTGGTGTGTCCAAGATGGAAGCTGGAGGCATGTAGGTAGGCATAGCAGTCTCTACATTTTCGGTACAGGGTGGTGTTTTACACAAAAACCTGTAGGAGAACACTTCAATCTCCCTGGACACATCCAACTTGACTTAATCAGCTTCATTAACACTGGTCGTACAATTGCCAGGTAACTACTTTTGCTGTGATCTACACTCTGGATTCTGGACTTTCCGCTCCGACTCATCTGATGAAGTGGGTTTCACGCATGCAAGCTCATGACATAAGAAAGTCATTAGTTTCTAAGGTGTCACAGGGCTGCTCATTGTTTTATTTGTAATTTCACCTAATTTCCACTTTTTGTAGGACTCCTTTTTGGTTTAGAGATCATTCAATATCTACTCTGCTGCTTAAGCCAGCATGGTCTCTTGCAATTCTTCCTACCTGTCTTATACAGAGGGAAAGAAATTCCTCTCTGTGTTCTAAATTTCCTCGTGCTCACATGGGAACACTTTCTCCACCTGTTATTCTTGTGTATGATTTCTGCTTTCCTAGTTGAAAAGAACAGCATTCCCGAAAGACTCACACTGGGCTTTCACCTCTTGGGGACCTTGAGGAAAAGAGTAAATGACCCTGTTTGGGAAGGGATGTCGCCTTTCACCGAATTTCAGCTCATTTTGGGGATAATGCACCAATATTTATTTTAATCATAGACAAACAGGTTTCACCTGAGAGCAACAATGTAACGTTCTCCGGGTTAACACACAGCTTTCCCAGGGACAGGGCGAGCCTGGCACGGACGTGAATGGGAACAAAGGACTCTGAATCCACCTCATGCTAGGAGTGGCTGGCAGAGAATCGTTTGTGCACCCGTCCCTAATACAGACACACAGACGGTGCAGGTTTCAAAGCAATTCCCATAAACAAACTGTATCAAAACAAAACCCCGCACTTCACACATAGCACTCCTTGGAGGAGGAGGAGAGAAAGAACAAACTTCTCACCACATTATTCAGGCAATTCCCCTGCAACAGGAGGAAGGACTGGAAAAACCACACGTGCCAGAGGTTAGTCATTTTGCTTAAAGCACTACTGGAAGGTGCGAGCAAGGGATGAAGTGACTTGCCCGTGGGCACTACGAAGATCAGTGGCAGAGCAAGTGATCTAACACACTTCTCCTGACTCCTGGTGTCATGGCTTGTCCTCTGGATCTCACAGCCTCCAACAAGGAATGTGATCGTTGTGACTCACTGGGGAAGGTCTCCTTCAACAGTAGAACCCGACAGGTCATTTCTGAAAGTCCCTTCCTGGTTGGGCTCCTGCATCCGGGGCTCTCAGGAGTTGCAATGAGGCTCTCGGGCCTGTCTCGGCACATTCCGGGGCTGAGTCACAGGGTCCTGAATCCAGCAGGTGCCCTCTGTACCCACAGAAGGACCCCGCACCCTCGGGGCCTTGTGGCACGGCAGTCCCCAGTCCAGTAACGGGTCAGCGGGAATGGGAAGTGATGCAGATGGACGGGGCTGCACGACGCCCTTGGACAGATCTCAGGCTCACTGTTCCCTGCACCACAGCGCCCCCTGCTGCTATTCCAGTGCATTGATTCAGCCTCCCTTCGGAGTCCACCACCCGTCCCATCTCTCCTGGTTAAGGCTTAGGTCTAAGCCTCTTTGCTGTGGGTGAGGGCTGCCTTTGAGTGGCCAGCTGCTCCCAGGGCAGGTGTGTGGGGGGGGACTCAACCCTGCAGCCCAGGCTCTGGAGGCTGATGCCTTATCCATGAGGCCACTGGAGGAATCACCCCCCCTCCTGACCTTCAGCGGCTTCCTTATCTGATTTCTTTTCTCCCTGCTCCCTCGACACAGAGCAGGCCCAGACACTGAGGTGATGGGCAGAGAGTAGGGCTCAGAGTATGACCAGCTAGGTGCTGGATCGTCATAGCCCTGCTCTCTCTAGGTGGCTCTGAAGCCCTGAGCCCACTGCTGCTAACTCCCTCTCCCAGGGATATAGAAGACAGCTGGGGCTGTACGACAGGGACGCCTCCCCGAACGGATGGTCCCTTTGGTGGAGGGTTCAAATCAGCCACTGGGCACACACGCAAAGGGCCAAGCTAATCTCAGGCAGGAATCTACTGAGCTCCATGCCCCTGTGCAATTGGTCACGGGATACAAAAGTCCCTGGTTACTCCTCATTTCAAAGGGCCTTCTTAAAATCCCCTTCTCTCTCCGTGGCTGGGATGTGTTTAGTGATGCAGCCTGGACAGAGCTAAAATCACCGTCTCAGCCTGTCTCTGATCCTGCACATGGAGCAAAATCCTCCCTTCATACCTGAGATCAGAGTGAAACTGCAGAGGCCACGGCATCCGCTAGTTCCTGCGTTCTTGCACCAGCACCCTCTGACGCCTTCCCGGAGTGTTGTGTTAAGGTGCACGACTAAGCCCTGTTGCACGGGGACTCTCCGTCTCTTCACCATCTTGGGATGGGGGTCGCCGGCTAAGTTCCCTCCTCCTCCTCTAATCGCCTCCGAGCGGGCGCATTGGAAGTGCAGAGGTTTTAAGCACACCAGGCGGTGGGTTACTCCAGAGAAGGGCGGTGAAGCAATTTCCTTCCCACTACTTTTAGCATCATGTCGTGCCCTGTGGCCCTTCATTGCTGGGCGAGCTCATTCCCTGTCCTGTGAAAGCTCTGCAGCTCTTGTCCCTGCACGGCACGCCAAGGCCTCTGCTCTCGAGCATTGCTGCAGTGCCCTCATGTCCCTTAGCCGGGCTAGGAAATCCCGCAGCTCCATGAGACGGAGCCATCCCTCACCCACCGGGGAACGAGCGCTTGCTCGAGGGCTCACAGAACAGAGAGCACCGTGTGAGTCCGTGCGGAGAGCTGCCTCCGTGCAATGCACCAGAGTCTGACCAGCTGACTCCACGCCAGGCCTGCTAGAGGCCTTTCAAAGCCTCCCAGTTTGAAGGCGAGTGAAGACAGAGAACGACCAGGAGCATGTTCTAGAGCTAGAAGCAGCAGAGGTTGGGGTCCCAGAGGGCGCGACCGGGCTCCCTGCCCCCGAAACCAGCTGCAGGCCCAGCTCTGGCAAAGGGGGAAGGCTGCCGGCCCGAACGCTGGCCCTTGTCCCAAGATGTTCTAGAAACAAACACTCAGTGGTGGGTTCAGAATTGCCAGTGGAGCAGAATCCCTCATGACAGGCAGGGAATTGTTCCCACGGTCCATTGCCCTCCCGGCTAGACACTGAGCCTGAATGTTTCTCTGCTCAGCCCTCCGGCATGGGGTGGGCTTGGCCCCTTCTCTGCTGGACAGAAGACTTGATGGAATAGTCGTTTCTCCTGCCCCTTTCTAGAGGGTGTGACCCACGGCCGGGGCAGACGGTGCCATGAAGCACAGCTTTGATTGGTGCAGGACAGTAAACGAGTCGCGGGGACGTTTTCCCCAGCCAATCGGTCTGTGCAAGGCGAGTCCCCGGCGCTCTGTCCTGGCCACCCGGGTAAAAGGTCACACAACCAGGGGAGGGCCCCGGGCGCCAGGCACTGAGAGCGGCAGGGTGCCCACGATGAAGACAGAGGTTGGAAAGGTTCCCAGAAAAGCATCAGAATGTAAGAGATTGTCAGAGAGGAGGAGTCGGGAGAGAGCTCCTGTGCCGGAGGATGGGGAGGGGCTTGTCATTCCTTTTCCTCCAAAGTCATCAGTGGGTCCGTGGGCACTAACAAAGCTTCTTTTCCCTGCAGCACTGCTGCTTGGGTGGGCGTGGAGAACATGGAGGTCACGGATCCACACACTTAGGCAGGCATGGAGGACACGGATCCATACGCTTAGGCGGGCAAGGGAAGGGAGGCACGCAAGTGGTGCACTTCTTCACACAGACATCGCAGCAGGGCAGCATTGGGGAGGCGGGCAGGTCTGTTTGCATTGCTGCTGGTGAGCCATCTTCCTGGGGTGGGGGCAAACCTGGAAGACAAAGGAGGCTTGTATCAGAGGGGTAGCCGTGTTAGTCTGAATCTGCACAAGCGGCGAGGAGTCCTGTGGCACCTTATAGACTAACTGAAGTGTAGGAGCATAAGCTTGCGTGGGCAAAGACCCACTTTGCCAGATGCATGTCTGATGCACAGGCACAAGGAGGCTTGTGGGTTTGCAACAGCAAGACAAAGAGCTGAATTTGCTGATAAACGTCTTGCACCGGAGCAGTCCGCCGAGTCAGAGGCTTGTGCGATCGGAAATACTTCTCCAGAGGGAGCGTCGCCACCGCAAACCCCGTCAGGAAGAACAAACCCAAATCAGATTGGATGAAATCCCGTCTGGAGGCCCTGAGACGGGATTTGAGGCACAAGACACCCAGACAAAGTGCGTTTGTGGTAGTGAGATGAGGAAAGAAGCAACGAAACCCCAGGCCTAAAGTTAACCCCAGTCACCCAAATGAGGTTTCCCAGCTCAGCTGTGGGCGCAAGTGAAGAAGCCGAGTGGACCAAGGCACAAGCCTTTACAAACACGTTTTCCGTGACCTGCACTGCAGAAATGAGGCGTCCTAGGACTACCCAGAAGTGTTTCTGCACAACCGCACTTGCTCCCCTGCAGAGCTTTAAGCCGAGTGTGGGAATCGTTTGTGAATAATAATTTGTCGTTATTTGAAGGAGACGGGCGACTGCTTGTGGAAATTCTTCTGTAAATTGTTGAGCTAAGAAAGACAAATCAGAAAAAAAAATCAGTAAAGAACTGGGTCCTGTAGGCCCTGGGAGATTTCCACAGATTCATTCCCCAGGCCTTCTTGCCCTTTTCTCTGAGGCACACACTCCTGCTGACTGCTGGAGACACGATATTGGAATGGACGGATCTTAGGTCAGATCTGATACTGCAATGTCTTTAGTGCTGCTAACGCACACATCTCCTCCAGGAGAGAGCAGTCTTGTGGGATGGACGGCTCCTGCTGGATTCAGGACCTCCGTCTCCTAACCAGAAGATCTTCATTCCCTTCCTAACACATGGAGCCCTTTTCTCCCAAAGAAACATGTTGGGGTAATGTATTGAATCACCTTAGGAAGAGTCGCACAGTTCAGTGAGAAAGCCACATCCCTTACCAAGTGGACAAATAAACCCTTTTTCGCAAGAGCTCAAGGAACAGGAAGCGCGACGTTCTTCTTTTGGCAGTGACGTCTTTTCCACCGAGGCGGGCAAGAATCCACAGCGAGAATAAACGGGAGAATGTTTTCACTCGTTAAAATCCCGAGGTTTTGCATGTGCATAGCTAAGCCAGTCCCCTTCCTACAGAGTGACTATGGCGGAGAGGGGATGAAGATCAAAGAGATCAAAGATTCATAGAAAAGGGTAAAATGAATCTGATCACAATGTGTTTTGGTCTCTGCCTTTGTCTTACTCCATGTGGCTGCAGGACAGGCAGGTTTTTTGGCAGAACACTCACATTCCATCTGAACCCCTGAATCCCACGCGAGTTGGATACCTGTCGGCAGACAACCAATCTCTGGGGTTTCCCAGCTTTGGAGGGCTTGACTTTGAATGCTTTTGTTCCTTTCCTGCGATTTTTCATGGGCAGCATATTTAAGGACAGCATGACCTAGAGACTGCTCTCTCCTAGCACCAGATACAGGTGCTTTCCCTGCTGCAAGAAGCCCAATCACTTTTGCTTGAAGTGGAGCATAGGCCAGGTCTGTACTACGCCAGACATTCGACTTACGACATGCAGCTCCAGCTACGAGAATTGCACAGCTGGAGTCAACGTACATTAAACCGAATTTCTGGGGCAGCCCCACTGTGGGAGGTCAATGGGAGAAACTCTCCCATCAACTTCCCTTACTCCTGACAACTCCAAGGAGTACTGGGGGTCAACGGGAGCACCCTCAGCATTCCATTCAGTGGGTCCTTACTAGACCCACTAAGTCAAACCCAGGAAGATCGATCTTCGGAGAGCCGATCTTTGTGTAAGTCTAGACAAGCTCATTTGCCTACTATAGATGTAAAGCTTCCAGGTGGGTGTGAATCCACCCAGTTACTGGGAGGCTGTCTCAGTGCTTATTCATTCTTTCAGGCTCACAATTTTGCTTCTTATTCCCAATTGATGTTTTTTGCCAAATTTCGACTCCCAGACACTGGCTCTTGTTTTGTCTTTGTATGGTACAATGAAGAGCTCTTCAGTGCACATAGAGGGAAGTGAAAATGTCCAGTGAATAGGAAAATACAGAAAAAAATCTCCATATTTGTATTTCACTTCCATGGCCAATGAGTGTTCTATGCTAGGAAGGAGCTGCTCAGCTATTTCTCTTCTCGGCCTGCCTGTAGAAACAAAACCACTTCTTCTGCTTCTCACTACCTGCAGCCCCGGTACCTGTCGTGGCCAACAGCTGCTGCTCTCTAGGGATTGTGTATCATGAAAGGAAACCAAAGGAGAAATGATAATTGTTTCTCAGATGTTGAAACTGCACACTGGCTGTATTTGTCACCAGGGATCACACCCTGGAGTGGAGAACGTTCCTTCTCTCTTCTAACAAGGTCAAAAACGTTCTCCCATCCACCACGCCTCAAGAACGCTTCAGTGCTTTGTCCCTTTTGAACACCGAGAATGACATTGTGAGGTCCTTGAATGACAATGACATAATTCATGACTTTGCGACAGCTTACACTAGAAATCAAAATGTTTGTCTGAAGCATCGCGGAGAAGAACCGTGTGAAGAATATGTAAATTTGCCGGCTTCAGAAGTTTTTTGCACTATGTAGTTAATACTTAGGCCCTGCCTCCCACTAGCCTCAGGCGCTTCGTAACATTCATGCAACAGATGATGGTGCAAGAAAAGATCTCACCACACCCCACTTGTACATAGAACACCATGAGGCAGACAGTGCTGTGAACTGTAGCTTTTATTGCTGCACATCTACAGGAAGAGAAGGGATGGGAGAAGAGACCATAGCACAATATCCCAGGAGTACTAAGTTGTCTGGATACACATTCCACAGGAAAGCCCTGATTTCTGGGCACTAATAGCAGAAAGCGTGTACAAAGTGAGACGAGAGATAGGAAACACTTCCAGAAACACGTCCCAGGGCAAGGAGAACGTCAGACGAGCGGAGTCCGGGGGAAGCTACTGCGCGGGGGGCTGGCATTCGTTGTCGTTCCGTGGCTGTCGGTCATTCCATGGGCACTAACAAAACTTCTTTTCCTGGCAGCACTGCTGCACCGGTGGGCACGGAGGGCATGGAGGGCACTTAGGCGGGCACGGGCAAGGGCATGGATCCACGCACTTGGGAGGGCATGGAGGGCACTTAGGCGGGCACGGGCAAGGGCATGGATCCACACACTTGGGAGGGCACGGAGGGCACTTAGGCGGGCAAGATCCACACACTTAGGTGGGCACGGGCAGGGGTGCACACACGTGGTGCACTTCTTCACACAGACATTACAGCAGGGATCCACGCACTTGGTCACACACTTGGTCTCACAGACGTTGCAGCAGGGATCCAGGCACTTGGTGGTGCACTTGGTCACACAGCATGGGGGAGGCGGGCAGGTCTGTTTGCATTGCTGCTGGTGAGCCATCTTCCTGGGGTGGGGGCAAACCTGGAAGACAAAGGAGACTTCTAGGTTTGCAAGTCAAGGTAAAAAGCTGCATTTACTTCTGAGCATCATGCACCGGAACATTTAGCGGAATCCGAGGCTGGTGCGATAGGGACCACTTCTCCGGAGGGAGCGTCGCCACCGCAAACTCCTTCAGAAAGATCAAGCCCAAATCAGATTGGACTAAAATCCCGTCCTAAGGCCCTGCCACAGGATTCGTGAAACAGACACAAGACACGAAAGCAAAGTGCGTGTATGCCCGGTAGTACGAAAAAATCAACCCCCAGCCCTAAGTTAACCCCCAGGAACACAAATGAGACTTTACCCAGCGTGCCAATGGGAGCCAGTGAAGAAGCCGAGTGGATTGAGGAGGACTGAAGCACAACCCTTATATATACGGTTTTCATGACCTGGTCTGCAGAAATGAGCCATCCCGGCGCTATGCGGATGCGCAACCCAAACTTCTTCCACCTACAGTTTCTTCGGTTGAGGGTGTGAAGCATTATTTGAATACTAATTTGCCATTATTTTATGATGACTGGCGACAGCATCTGCGGAAATACTGATCCTAGTTTCAAGTCTCTGTGCTAGGAGAGTCAAATCAGAAAAAACAAAACAATTCAATAAAGAACTGAAATTTGAACTTTGTACAATGGATTCTGCCCGTGCCCGCCTAAGTGTGTGGGTCCATGCCCTTGCCCGTGCCCTCCAAAGTGCCCTCCGTGCCCGCCTAAGAGTGTGGGTCCATGCCCTTGCCCGTGCCCTCCAAAGTGCCCTCCGTGCCCGCCTAAGTGTGTGGGTCCATGCCTTTGCCTGTGCCTTCCAAAGTGCCCTCCGTGCCCGCCTAAGAGTGTGGGTCCATGCCCTTGCCCGTGCCCTCCAAAGTGCCCTCCGTGCCCGCCTAAGAGTGTGGGTCCATGCCCTTGCCCGTGCCCTCCAAAGTGCCCTCCGTGCCCGCCTAAGAGTGTGGGTCCATGCCCTTGCCCGTGCCTTCCAAAGTGCCCTCCGTGCCCGCCTAAGAGTGTGGGTCCATGCCCTTGCCCGTGCCTTCCAAAGTGCCCTCCGTGCCCGCCTAAGTGTGTGGGTCCATGCCTTTGCCTGTGCCTTCCAAAGTGCCCTCCGTGCCCGCCTAAGAGTGTGGGTCCATGCCCTTGCCCGTGCCTTCCAAAGTGCCCTCCGTGCCCGCCTAAGAGTGTGGGTCCATGCCCTTGCCCGTGCCTTCCAAAGTGCCCTCCGTGCCCGCCTAAGAGTGTGGGTCCATGCCCTTGCCCGTGCCTTCCAAAGTGCCCTCCGTGCCCGCCTAAGAGTGTGGGTCCATGCCCTTGCCCGTGCCTTCCAAAGTGCCCTCCGTGCCCGCCTAAGTGTGTGGGTCCATGCCTTTGCCTGTGCCTTCCAAAGTGCCCTCCGTGCCCGCCTAAGAGTGTGGGTCCATGCCCTTGCCCGTGCCTTCCAAAGTGCCCTCCGTGCCCGCCTAAGAGTGTGGGTCCATGCCCTTGCCCGTGCCTTCCAAAGTGCCCTCCGTGCCCGCCTAAGAGTGTGGGTCCATGCCCTTGCCCGTGCCTTCCAAAGTGCCCTCCGTGCCCGCCTAAGAGTGTGGGTCCATGCCCTTGCCCGTGCCTTCCAAAGTGCCCTCCGTGCCCGCCTAAGTGTGTGGGTCCATGCCTTTGCCTGTGCCTTCCAAAGTGCCCTCCGTGCCCGCCTAAGTGTGTGGGTCCATGCCCTTGCCCGTGCCCTCCAAAGTGCCCTCAGTGCCCGCCTAAGTGTGTGGGTCCATGCCCTTGCCCGTGCCCTCCAAAGTGCCCTCAGTGCCCGCCTAAGTGTGTGGGTCCATGCCCTTGCCCGTGCCCTCCAAAGTGCCCTCAGTGCCCGCCTAAGTGTGTGGGTCCATGCCCTTGCCCGTGCCCTCCAAAGTGCCCTCAGTGCCCGCCTAAGTGTGTGGGTCCATGCCCTTGCCCGTGCCCTCCAAAGTGCCCTCAGTGCCCGCCTAAGTGTGTGGGTCCATGCCCTTGCCCGTGCCCTCCAAAGTGCCCTCAGTGCCCGCCTAAGTGTGTGGGTCCATGCCCTTGCCCGTGCCCTCCAAAGTGCCCTCAATGCCCGCCTAAGTGTGTGGGTCCATGCCCTTGCCCGTGCCCTCCAAAGTGCCCTCAGTGCCCGCCTAAGTGTGTGGGTCCATGCCCAACCCCAACTCAATCATCCCAGCCAGGGCTTTGTCAAGTCGGGACTTAAACACCTCTAGGGTTGGAGATTCCACCCCTCCCTAAGGAACCCAGAAGGTTCTAGGTTGGACATTAGCAAGTGCTGGGCTGGGCTCCCTAGGGAGTTGGTGGAATCTCCATCCCTAGAAGTTTTGAAGTCCCGGCTTGGCAAAGCCCTGGCTGGGCTGACTGAGTTGGGCTGGTCCTGCTTTGGGCAGGGGGCCGGACTCGATGTCTCCAGACGTCTCTTCCAAACCTAGGACTCTATGATTCTAATCTCATTAAGTAGATTTTAAATTAATTTGATAGGCCCTGGTTTTCCCTAAACGCTTTCGAGTTGCATTAAGCACCCTCACCATTATCCTCCCTGGGATCAAAGTCAGGCTGACAACGGTCTAGCCGGTGCTGGGTCCTGCCGTGGGGGCAGGGGACTGGACTCGATGCCTTGCGAGGTCCCTTCCAGTCCCAGTGCGCTACGGTTCTCTGATTCTCTGAGTGCAATACAGTGCTACTTGGCTCATCCCATTTGCCGTTTTTGCGAATTGGCACAACATTAACTTTCCTCCAGCCTTCGGGAATTTCCCAGAGATATTAAAAATCCACATTAACAGCTGAGTGACCTCCCCAACCAAGCCTGTTAACGGTCTTGGATGCAGGTTATCAGGACCTGCTCATTTAAAGCAGGCTAAATTTAGTAGCATTTTTAACACCCTCTAGGTGTTAGCACTTTGTGGTGGTGGTCTCTCTCTTTACACAAATGTGCTCTCAGTGATCAAAGCAATCCCTTGTCTGTCTCAATTACATTCTCAACATGCCGCCAGGATGCACCTGAATTGTAATTAGCCCCACATGGAGGGGAAAACCCATCTGCCTTGGCCTATTTGCACAAGGCGGTGAGTGTTCTGAACAGGAACAACAAGAAGGTTAATGTATCGCAATGAGGAAATGAGAAGCTACATGTTCCGAAGCCCCTGTTCCCTTTTCCCATTCCTAGTGGGCTCTTTCTGTCAAAGAGACGGCCCATTGCAGAGATTTGCCTCAAATGAAAGCTCTTCCAGATAGAGCAGCCTATTCCTTATGTGACTGCGGTGTTCCTACCACAGTGAGGAGCTGGTCCACGAATGAAGCTCTTCAGAACAGAGAACGGCGCAGCCAGACCGGGTCAGACCAAAGGTCCCTCCAGCCCAGTGTCCTGTCTGCCCACAGTGGCCAATGCTGGGTGCTTCAGAGGGAGTGAACAGAACAAGCAACCATCCCCCGACAGATCCCTTGTGTCTAGAGACACCGTCCCATCCACCAGCTCCCAGGCTTTAGCTCCAGATTAGTCCCCAGATCAACCATCTTTTCTCTTGTTGAGCTGTTATTCCTTCTAAAGGACAATATCTACTTGTGGAGTAAAACGTTCCTTGGGTCTCCCATCACGAACGCCATGGACCTTCCATCTCCATTTTTTTCATGGGCTCAGCTCTTTAAAGTCTCGAAATGAGTCCTGAATATCTATGGTCATAGAAAGCCACGGATAAGAAATAGGAATTTATTTAAAACACTTGATTGTCCGAAGTCACCTGACAAACATTTATTCCAGCAAGACTGGAATCCTACTGCTAAAAATGAAGGGGAATCCAACTATTTGTCTCTAGAAGGGAGGAAGCTATCCCATGAAGAACAGCTGTAGACTTACAGGGTAAGAGAAATTCCTTCTAGTTCATTCCTTCTTCACTGACGGTTACCAGGACCAGACAGCTCAGAGGAAGATGCAAGAAAACATGCAGAAGGAATTTATGCAAATCAAGGGGAGTCCATTAAGGCAGAGCAGTCGATTCCTTATTGAGTTGTTTTTTTTCTGATTTCCAATATGTAGCTCAGGAGTTAGAGCTTACAAATACTATTTCCGCAAACTCTGCTATGTGTGTCTTATTAAAATAATTAATAATTATGATTAATCTAATGAGTGGCTGCTCGATTTAAAAATCTCTAGGTGGAGCAGGTATGGGATGTGAAAAGTCACATCTGCATGACTCTGGTGTGTCTCATTTACGGAAACCAGGCCATGGAAAGGATATAAAAGACTCGTACCTCAATATTCCTCAGTTCACTCGGCTTCTTCACGTGTTCTCATTGGTGAATCGGGTAAGTCTTGATCTGTTTATTGGGGGCTAACTTAATAGCTGGGAATAACCCTTTTCTTTCCTCTTCGGCAACCTATTACTGCTCACAGGAGTGGTTTTCCTAGGGGTCTTGTGGCTATTCACTAATCCCATTGCAGGACGTCAGGGTGACATTCCAGTCCACCCGCCTATATGTGGTTTGCGATGGCAACGCTCTCCCTGGAGAAGTGTTTCCTAGTGCACAGGTCTCTGATTCAGTTGGCTAATCTCTTTCCTGATGTTAAGAAGCAAATCAATCTGTCTTGCTCCTGCAAACTCCAAAGTCTCCTTTGTCTTCCAGGTTTGCCCCCGCCCCAGGAAGATGGCTCACCAGCAGCTGCTGCGTGACCAAGTGCACCACCAAGTGCCTGGATCCCTGCTGCAACGTCTGTGAGACCAAGTGTGTGACCAAGTGCGTGGATCCCTGCTGTAAAGTCTGTGTGAAGAAGTGCACCACGTGTGTGCATCCCTGCCCGTGCCCGCCTAAGTGTGTGGATCCGTGCCCTAAGGATTGCCTGAAGCAGATGAGGACCAAAAGCAAGGCCCAAGAAGAAGCAGTAGTGAGCCTAGCGCCTGCTGCCTGGTGGACATAAAACCGTAACTGCGGTTCCCTCAGTGGAGGTTGTCAGAACCAAAAGGGTCTTGCCTCCAACATGTGCCTCTGGTGGGGCCTGTTCCTCGGCCACTGGTGTCTTAAGATCTGGGGAATCCACAATGACAATGACAATTCTTTTATCCACCAGCAAGTATGGATCGCTCAGACCCTTAATATCTCTAATTGCTGGGTCTGCAGCCACATTCCATCCCACTCACAAGCTGGTTCCTGTCTTGGCAATCCCACTTAATTCCCCAGGCCTCACCCGTTTAACAAGACATGGAACAGTAATGACACTTGGGAAGCAGTGGGAATAATTGTGGGAATAAATGTATCTAAACGGATAAGTGTGGAGGAGAAAAAAGGTCACTGGTGTTTGGTGTGTAATGGGACGGGGCTGAATCTGGGGAGGAGCAGTTGTCTCCAGCATATTGTAACATCAGTACAATCTTTAATGCCATGCAAATAACACCACTCCCCGTAAGGAGAATCACCGTGTGCCCTTCGGGGGATATTACTCCTCCTTTGTAGACACCTATATGGCAAAGGGGTGCAACCGACCCTTCCCGGCTTTGATAGGGCATCATTGGGTCTGTGGAACAAAGGCCTATACCACATTACCAGTTAACTGGTCAGGTATCTGTTATCCCGCCCAACTCTTCCCACAATTCCGAGTGTTAGAGTCCTTCCCATGAGAACGCCTCCGTAATTTTAGGCGAAAAAGAAGGGACTTGTCGGATGCCCAATGGTATGTGAATCACATAAGCCCTTTAACTTGGGAAGAGGCTATTGGTGGTTCCTTTGACCCACTTGGGGGAGTAATACATCATGCAAAAAGGCTTCTGAGGTTACAAACAGTAGTTAAAATCATGGAAAATGAAACTGGAAAAAGTTTAAGGGCCCTGGCCAAAGAAACAGGAGCGATCAGACAAGTGGTCCTCCAAAACCGTCAGGCATTGGATATAGTGCTGGCAGCAAAAGGAGGGACCTGTGCTCTCATTGGCAAAGAATGTTGTGTATATATACCAGACAACACCAATGATAGAATAGATCGCGCTAGCTACTTAAAAAAGATTGCATACCTTTCCAACGAAGAGCCAAGTTCCCTGTGAAAATGGCTAAGTAACTTGTCCAATTTCTCTGGCATAGGAAACTGGTTGTTTCAGGAAGCCCTGACTATCCTATTTGGAATCTTAATAATTTTTGTATGTTTTCAGTTAATCTCCTGTTGTATCCAAAACTGTGCAAGACATGTCACAGACATGTCCCCTCACCAGAGTGCTAATCTGATGCTTTTAAATATCACTAATGAACAAAAAGACAAAGAACGGTTAATGCAAGGAACCCAGTAATTGTTGGTCATAGGCGAGGCTTGACCAAAAGGAGGGATTGTGAAAGTAGAAAGAATTATACTGTAGGAGAAAGATGAATTGTACTGTAATAATTGAATAAGTTGAAGGAATTCTGTTTGTCTTTTAAGAGGAAGAAGAAAAGTATGTTAATGTTGATTGTAGGTATGCAGATCAAGGTGCTAGCCAATTTGGGCCTGAGTTTAACAGGAAGAGAAACATTAGGTGTTAGACAGAAAGCAATTCTAGATAATCAGGGAGATATAGCCAGGAGATTGCTGTGTGCTTGATATTGAAATGAAGATACTTAACCACACTAATAATGTGAAGTTTTGCCACACCCTTTGATCTTGTTAACTTGGCCTTTTGACTGTATAAAATCAAGGGGTTTGAACCTTGTATGGTACTCACATTTTCTCCATGCATTTTAGCAAAGCTTTGCTGAAATAAACAGAGCAGTCTGCCAAATCTGTGAGTCCTGTCTGACTTTGACACTCTGAAGAGCTCACAGTGTAAACAGACCGCAGGGGCAGTAACTCACCCGAGGTCACCGAGTCAGTCACCAGTCGGGTGTCCACCATGCCGCAGCAGCCGCCTACGAGCGCGGGAAATGTGCTGGCCCTTGGTGCCAATGTCTGTACCCCACGGCAGGGCTGGCTTGCACACGAGGAACTTACCTCCCGAGACTCACTCCTTGTGCCACGGCTCCGTCTGCTCCCTGGCCAGCCAGACGAGCCCTGGCGCTGTCGGTGCTTAGGAGCCGGCTTGAGCGCAGGGCTGAGGAAAGGGGCTCTGGAGAAGTGGGATCTCGTCTGTCACACCTGGGTCTGTGGAGGGAGCGGGGAGACAGCAGTGGGGGCGTTTGGACGGGGTGGGCACCACCGTGGGGGGCCTGTGGCAGGGGTGCAGACACAGCGGGGCTCGGGAGCAGGCTGGGCACAGCCTCGGCAGTCAGAGTCAGCACTACGGAGACCGACTGAGAGCTGGCTGTGGGGGGCACGGCGAACGCTCAAAGACCATTGGCCCAGAATACTGGGGGAGGGGGGGCTCCGGCAGAGCCTGCCAGTGACAGCCAGTCCTCCCCCCAGCAGGCCACTCTGACAGGAGCCCCGTGCCCGGGGGGACAGAGTAGGACGAGGGGAGCTTCCCGCACTCCACACAGAGCCAGCTCCAGCCTGGCACTAGGGGGCGCTGTGCTCGCAGGGGCAATCTGCAATGATGCCCACACCCCCAGCACAGGGGTCCCCGAGAGCCTCTCCCAGGGGCACGTCCCTTCCTCCGGCGTCACTGCTTGTTTCCACGCCGCCAGCTCCTGGGCTCGGTGGAGGCTGGACTCACAGGCTGGGGGGCCCCCGCCGAGGCCCCCCAGGCGCTGCCGACACGGGCGTGTCTTTCCCTGGGCAGTTCCAGGCTGTCCTCACCGGCTGGGCCTCAGGCCTCCCTGAGCCAGGCCCTGCCCAGAAAGACACCTGGGAAATTCCCTCTGCGATCTTTCCAGTAAAGGAATCCGTCCCCTGCTGAATCAGAACAATTAGCTACCTGACGGGAGGCCCAGGGTTCTCCTGGTACGGCATTGCACCGGCCTCAGCAGAAGCGCACTGGCTCCCTGGCTCTGCCACTGAATGCCTGTGTGCTCTGGGCAAGTCATTTCACCTGCCTTGGACAAGCCCCCCCCACCCGAATTCCTTGTCTACCTTGATTAAAATCTTCGTGACAGAGTCTATGTGTTTGTACAGCACCTAGCACCAGGTAAGTACAAAAACTGGGGCTGTCAAATGATCCATAAATGTAATTGCGATTAATCGCGTGCGCCTCCCCTTGGACACACCGCTGCAGCGTGTCAACGGAGCAGAGCAGCATGGAGCCGGGTCAGCTGGACCCCAGACCCCACGACTGCCCCTTGAAAACGCTGCCTCTGGCATTTCAAAGGGGTAACACAGCAGTAAAACCTGCAATGAACGTGTTAACAAATATAACGCGTGAATCCCGGACTGCATTAATCACAGGAGTCAACACATCTCAATTGACAGCCCTAACAGAAACCAGGAAAGTCTGCCACCCTAAGGATTGCCCCCTGCCGGGAATCTCCGCACACTCCCAGGACACTCAGAAATTGTTATTTCCAGAAATCAACCCCAAAGGGCTGAGCCCGCTGACAGTGGGTGGACACCTCCTTTCAAGGTGGAAGTCCATGGAGTAGGCTCCCATGTTCCCCAGGAGAAGAGCTGCAGCTATCTCAGGTGCAGGCTCCTGCACTGCATGGTGCACAGGTGGAGTTCAGTGGTACGGACTTACAGGAAAGGCTAGGGCAAAGGCAGCAGAATCCAGTGCAGGACCCCATGTATTGTGGGAGAGCAGTCAGGCCCAGCTGGGTTGGGTCTGGTGTCTGTGCCCAAGACATTAAGGTAAAAAGAAAAGAAAAGAAAAGAAAAGAAAAGAAAAGAAAAGAAAAGAAAAGAAAAGAAAAGAAAAGAAAAGAAAAGAAAAGAAAAGAAAAGAAAAGAAAAGAAAAGAAAAGAAAAGAAAAGAAAAGAAAAGAAAAGAAAAGAAAAGAAAAGAAAAGAAAAGAAAAGAAAAGAAAAGAAAAGAAAAGAAAAGAAAAGAAAAGAAAAGAAAAGAAAAGAAAAGAAAAGAAAAGAAAAGAAAAGAAAAGAAAAGAAAAGAAAAGGGTCACGAGCATCCTGACGCAGACGTAGGTTCTCATTTCTCAACTGAAATACACTAAAAGGTTCAGCCCTTGACCCTCTTCAGCACACGCAGCGTCCATGGTGACAGGATCGCACGAATGTCTTCTCCACGTCGTCAGAACGACCATTCTCCACCCCAGGCGCATGGCCTCGTACGTGAGCAATGCTGCAGTGTAGCGGAGATGGACAGGAGACTGCTCTCCCTCCCCTCCCCCCTGGGGCCACTGGCATCCCGCAGGGAACCAGTTGGATCCCTCCCACAGAAGCTCACCCTCGATATTAGAAAGTAAAAGAAATAGAAAGAAATTTCAGTGCAAACTGGCAGAAGCCAGAACTAACTGAGGACAAAATGTCAGAACCTAAAGGCCCAAATGCCTTATCGCCCCAGTGACCTGACAAGCCCCGATCCTAGCACAGAACTTACAAACAGCATTTCCTCTGGCAGGTGATATGTGACCGCTTCCAATACCTGCATACAATGTCCATTGGCACTCGTGATGCAGACAGGCAATTGAGGGGTGTGTAATTGCCGGCCCAGTAGCAGAGCATCAGCCTTCCCCACCGGTATCCTGCTGCCCCTGCTCTGCCTTCCTACCCCGGCCACATCACTTCTTGTGGGACCCTGCAGCCGCTTTTGTAGGGCAGGGCCTTTTACAAGGGAAGCAAAGGACGGGGCATCTGGGGGAAGGCTCATGTGAGTGCAGGAGAGAATGAGACACCCGGAGACAGAGGATGCCGTGAATCGTAGCGTTTATTGCTGCACCTCTACAGTAAAAGGCGGGAAGGGAACAGAGAACGGAGAGGGGGAAATCTCCAACATGTGAATCGTCTGCAGCACACGTGCCACAGGATCTCTCCCAGGCAGCGCTGAAATAGCAGGGGCTCCAATGCAGCGAGTTTCTTCTTACACGGGAATGAATTGGCCCCTCGATAGGAGAAGCAGGCGCAATGTGCAGTGAGTGGAGAAAGGCTGGAACGCTCCTAGAAACACGTCCCAGGGCAAGGGGAACGTCAGACGAGCGGAGTTAGGAGGAAGCTACTGTGCATGGGGCTGTCATTCGTGGTCCTTCCGTGGCTGTCAGTGGTTCCGTGGGCACTAACAAAGCCTCTTTTCCTTGCAGCACTGCTGCACCGGTGGGCATTTGGGAGGGCACGGAACGCACTTTTGAGGGCATGGACAAGGACACGGATCCACACACTTAGGTGGACAAGGGCATGGACACGGATCCACACACTTAGGCGGGCATGGGCAAGGGCATGGATCCACACACTTAGGTGGGCACGGGCAAGGACACGGATCCACACACTTAGGTGGGCACGGGCAGGGGTGCACACACGTGGTGCACTTCTTCACACAGACATTACAGCAGGGATCCACGCACTTGGTCACACACTTGGTCTCACAGACGTTGCAGCAGGGATCCAGGCACTTGGTGGTGCACTTGGTCACGCAGCATTGGGGAGGCGGGCAGGTCTGTTTGCATTGCTGCTGGTGAGCCATCTTCCTGGGGTGGGGGCAAACCTGGAAGACAAAGGAGGATTCTGGGATTGCAAAATGAAGTCCAATATTAGCTTATTAGTCTCATGCACCAGAATGTTCAGCAGAATCAGAGACTGGTGCTCCAGAGGGGGGTTGCCATTGGGAAACAGCTGCAGGAAGAAGAAGCAGGAGGCAGCATGGACCGAAATCCCACTCGAAAGGCCGGCAATGGGATTCGCGGCAGAGCCACAAGACACCAAACAGCCCTGCTGGTAAGAGCAAGCAGAGGAAAGCCGAAAATCGAGCCCAGACACTAAGTTAGCGCCCAATGGCCGGCAGGAGACTTACCCAGTTCAGCAACAGGAGCAAGTGGAGAAGTGAAGTGGATTGGGGAGCAGCGGGGCACACGTCCTTTTATACGGCTCCATGGCCCAGTCTCCGGAAGTGAGATCTCCTAGAGCTATGCACGTCTCATTTGCATAAAGGAACTTGCTCCAATTACCCATCCTTCAATTACTTGTTTGCACCATTATTTTTAATAATTATTTGAAGAGGACACGTGTGACACAGTTGAGGACGTGCTGGTGATAAGTGCTGATGCCTGACCTACAAAATTCAGATCAGGAAATAGAATTCAGGAAACACTGGCAATCCTTTGCTTAAAATAAACGTTATGGATTTTCAATCATTTTTCTGTAGGCTCTTGCATCTTACTCCTAAGGCCTCAGTTACTGTTCACGGGCAGAGAGAAGATGGATGGATGGATGGATGGATGGATGGATGGATGGATGGATGGATGGATGGATGGATGGATGGATGGATGGATGGATGGATGGATGGATGGATGGATGGATGGATGGATGGATGGATGGATGGATGGATGGATGGATGGATGGATGGATGGATGGATGGATGGATGGATGGATGGATGGATGGATGGATGGATGGATGGATGGATGGATGGATGGATGGATGGATGGATGGATGGATGGATGGATGGATGGATGGATGGATGGATGGATGGATGGATGGATGGATGGATGGATGGATGGATGGATGGATGGATGGATGGATGGATGGATGGATGGATGGATGGATGGATGGATGGATGGATGGATGGATGGATGGATGGATGGATGGATGGATGGATGGATGGATGGATGGATGGATGGATGGATGGATGGATGGATGGATGGATGGATGGATGGATGGATGGATGGATGGATGGATGGATGGTCTGAGCCAGTATGGGCATTTTTTTCTCCCTGCTAATGTGGAGTCTCTGGCCATGACATACCAGACATACGTCCGCGGGCACAGAGGTACACTGGGCCCCCTGGTTCCTCGGTATTTGTAGCACTTCGACACACCGAATGGAGGCCATTGTTCATTTTTACTCCTGCTCAATGACTGTTGACTAAATGTTCGCTTTTACTCTTGCTGAAATGAGTGATTGCCAGGTGTCTCCTCAGAAGACACTGGGGTCTCTGTTGGGTGACATGGTGTCTTGTCCTTATGGTGACTTCTAGCCATTTTCAGCTGATACGTTCTCCTAATTCTGGTATAGACTGGAAGCTTCTTAAACAGACGTCTGTCTCTCCACATATGACATGCCAGTGCCCCAGAGATGAGAACCATCTCCTGTCCATCACAGCACAAATCCAAGATGCCTTCAACGTGAGTGTGGAATTGTGTCAGGAAGTGTCATGTTCCCTCCTCACCCTTAAAGCCAACACATGAGCATGTTGGGGACCCCCCCGATCCTGCACCCCGTCTACAATAAGATGAGACTCTGCCAACCAGTAGAGTAGAGAGGGTTTCTTGCTTCTGCAAGGTACAGCAGAGCCAGGGTTCCATGTGGGCATCGAAGTGAGGGGCCAGATAGCCTCAGAGCCCTTGGGGAAGGGTCCACAGGCCCCCGAACTCCCAGTACTCAGCTTAGTCTCTTCTCCTCATGTTTTCCCAGCCAAGACTCACTCTTCCCCTAACCATGCCCTTCCTTTGTTCAAACTCCTTCCCTGTGTGGTGAGAACCGCCTGGGCCATGGTCTACACAGGAGGGCCCTCAGGGTGACCCCCCGCTGCGCAGTGCTTACAGAGAGAGGCCAGTAGGGGTCATCCACAACCCACAGCCCAAGCACAGCGACCAGCGAGTGGCCCGTACCCCCACTACATCACACCATGCTAGGGTGTCTGACAGGCTCTTTCCTCTTCATCACCTGCTAGTCCCATTGAATTAACTAAAGGGCCTGTGGGCTCCCATCTTACAAGGCCATGAGGAGCGTGATGCTCCAGTGGGTTTGTACGGCAGCGAATGGATTTAAGGCCCCATGACTTAGGCCAGGTCTAAACGACACCAGGATGGTCAGTTCAAGGTATGCACTCTAGCTACGAAAATAGCATAGATGGAGAAATCCCTTAGTCGAGCTTGGAGCCATTTCTGCAGTGGGAGGTTGACAGAGAAATGCTCCTTTCGACTTCCCTTACTCCTCACAACAGTGAGGTGTACTGGAACCAGTACAGGCAACCTCGGTGTTTTGTTTTACTAGACCTGCCAAAGAGTCATTATTCCTGCACATGGAGACATGGCCTTGTCCTCCGACACGGCTGACATGGGCGAATCTTTCTTGGTGGAGTTCCTTTGTGCGTGTCCTTCAGTCCTAGCCCTCCGGGCTCCAGGGGCCAGGCCCTACCTCGAGGACATGGGCTGGAAAACTACCTAAGTTTCTTCTGATACATGAAATTGCTCCTAGTGAGTCACAGTCATTAAGTACCTTACAGGCGGCAGCGTGATCTTGTGAATAAGGCATTGCATGGGAGTCGGGAGAACTAAATGGTATTCTTGGTTCTACCAGCGTCCATCTGTGTGATATTGGACACGTCATGTCACCTCCCTATGGCTTTTTCCCCTCCAAATGGCGAACCACGGCCAATGGGAGCCACTAGGGTCCGTGGCTCCCAAGCCGGTAAGTAAATAAAGAGAATGGCCAGTTAGTGCCCGTCTCAGACTGGGTTCGCGGACCACTCTGAGAAACGCTGGACTAGATTAAAATCCTTGTGACAGGCACTATGTGTCGGCATGCATTTGTACAGCACGTAGTACAATGGGTTCACTCCTATTTCTCCTTCAGAGGAAATTTGTTTTATTCCAAATTAAAGAAAATCCCTAGAACCATAGAATCCCAGGGCTTGAAGAGGAATAAGGGATCTTTCGGAAAAGGCTTTATTTTCCAAAAGATCCCCGTCTAGACTGGCACTTTTTTCGGCAAACCTCTGAGCTGGAAAAAAGCGGCAGCAATTTTTATGCTAATGAAGCAGGGGGATTTAAATCCCCGCTTCATTTGCAATTGCGATGTGTCTAATTTGCATCCCTTTTACGGAAAGGGATGCAGTCTAGACACAGCCCCAATGTCTCCGTTTGATCTCTTTTCTGTAAGGCTTATTGAGAACCAATCCAGTTCCAGGTTCGTCCTATTTTTCTGGCTCATCTTGGGTCATCTCTTTCAACATTCACTCAGTTATGTCAATTGAGAGAACTGTATTTGTTTTGCTTATTCTGTCTCTGTTCTGTTTAGTATTAAGAGAAGCAATCTCATTCCAGGCACATCCCATGTTATTGGAACAACCAAACTCTTACATTAAGAACATAAGAAGTGACTTGGATATGCTTGTCAAGCCTGTTCCATCTAGCCCAGGGTCCTGTTTTCTGACAGGAACCAATGCCAGCTGCCCCCAGAAGGAATAACTAGAATATGGAATCATCAAGTGAAGCCACCCCTATTGCTCGTTCCCAGCTTCTGGCAAACATAGTCATTGATGGACCAGTCCTCTGTGAATTTATCTTTTTAGAACCCGGTTAAAGTCCTGGTCTTCACAACATGCTCTGGCAAGGAGTTCCACAGGTTGCTTTAAGTTATGACCAGAGGAAGTTGTATACAAGTTTCGTGATCCTAGCTCTTTCCATTTAGGAGTTCTTGATCAAACACACAGCCAAACAAATTCTCTAAAATATGTAGTAGATAATAATGCATTAGAATGAGAATGAAGTTTCAGCATCCCAGCTATTTCTTCTCGTGAGACCATCAGAGTGAAGACTAGCCTTGTGCTAAAATAATATGGTTCCAACATCAACGCTGCACTTATAGAAGCATGGAGGGAAGCTGCTCATTAGCAGGAATAGAAAACTGCTCATAGCAGGTCAGACCAAAGATGAATTTAGTCCAGTATCGTGTCTCTGACAGCGAGGTTCCAACATCAATTCTGCATTTATAGAAGCAGGGAGGGAAGCCACTCAGACCAAAGATCAATCTAGTCCAGTACCATGTCTCTGACAGCGGCCAGTGAGCATATCTCAGAAGAAGGTGAAGAACGACCGTGAAGGGGATCTTATAGAAATCCATAAACACCAATAACCCAGTGTTTTACTCAAAGGATTTTTTTCCAGTTGGCATTACATGGGTCAGGCGCTCGGACTTACAAACAGCATTTGCTCAGACGATGCCACGTGTCTCTCCTTGAAATAATTATAACTAACAAAGAAAACACCTATTAAAAATAATGAGGCAACCTAGTAATTGAAGAATCAGTAGATGGAAGAGGTTTGGATTGTGAAAACATCCCCTCTGCATAGCCCTGGCGCGTCTCATGTCCAGGCACCAGGCCATGGAAACATGTAAAAAGTCTCCCACATAATGTGTGCCCCACGCCCGTGCTTCTGGGTAGCATCAGGGATCCCTATGGAGAGGTGTATGGATACTGGGCAAGATCCAGATCTTTCCTTGTGATCATTTCTTCTTGTGCTCGGCTGCCATTGCTTTAGTAGCCGGACAAGCCCCTGTGCGCTCTACTCCCTTTCTACACTAATACAAATGAACTGGTGGCAGGGCTGGCTAGCCCAGCACGTCCCCATGTTCAAGTGTTGCCCTGCTGTACGGTGAGTTTTGCACCAGGTTTTTCCCCGGCTGACGGAGCGCTCTGGCGCACCACTCAGCCCTTTCTCCTGACATCCCGAGGGGGAGCCTGGAAGACCTTGAGAAGCTGCTTCGGAAGGAAATGGAGCAGTGGGAACTTATCGATTTGCCTGCCACTTAGCAACATCCACATTCACCAAAACTCCACTCTGTGGGATGGTGGAGAGACCAAGCTGAGATCGGAGATTAAGGGAAATGTTGCAAATCACTGGCATGGAGAACGAGCCAGCTCTAAAACACTTTAGATCCAGCATCCTGGGGAATACGCCATTAATTGTGGGAGGCCAAAGAGGCCCGGTGATCCTCTGCCCCACTCTTCTCATGCTCATCACAGTGATGCTCCCGTGTCATGGATGGGTTGTATCCCTCCTGAGTGGCTGCTCAAAAAAAGGGGGATTTGGAG